CATACAGCACATGTACACCTACTTGAACCCGCTCCACAAATCCCCAAACGCATCGTCCTTCTTCTGCGCCTGCGCCTGCGGCTGGTCAAATGCGCCGAACGGGTCGGCGGCCGGTGGCGGGCTGGCGGCGGCGCCCCACACGGCCGCGGTATTCGTCAGGCCGCCCATGCCCGCACTACTCGTCGGCGCGCCCCACTGCGCACCTGCACCTGCACTACCATTTGCTGGTGCGCCCCACAATTGCTGCTGGTGTTGCTGCTGCGGCACGCTCCACCCGGACGCGGCGCCCCACATGCCGTGCCGCTCGTGCCCATCATGCTCTGGGCAGCGGGCTGTTGCTGCGCTACGCCAACGCTGAACTGCACTTGCTGCTGCGCAACACCGAATTGCGCCTGGTGCGGGACACGGGGGCGCCGAACCCCTGCCCTCCAAACCCCGGCTACCCGCCAAACCCCGGCTGCTGCGCAGGCGCGGCGTTGAACAGCGACAGAATATCCTGCTTCTTCGTCTGGGCCCGCGCGGGGTTGGGTTGGGGCACCGCAGCTGCGGGCGCGTGGAAATCGAGCATGAAGAGGTCCTACTCTGGCTTGGGCGGCGAGGGGCGTCAGTGCCGGGACTGCCCTCTTGGCGGTGGTGATGGTATTATATTGGTCATGTTCGCGGAGATGAGGTGGTGGCGGGCCTGAAGCTGGCGGGTGGTGACAGTGGGCTGGGACGGGCGCGGGGGGGGGGACGCCCCATCCGATGGGGTCGGGCGAGGTGAAGGGCGCGGGCGCGGGCGCGGGGTCGGGGTTTGTGGCTGCTGCTGCGTCGTCGGGGGATTGGGTGTCGAGGACGGACGGGTCTATGGGGGGCGGCCCGTCGAGCGCTCAGCGGCGCGACTCGTATTTGGAGCGCACGAAAGATTCCATTTTGCTGTGAATACCTATTATTTTATTTCATTTTTAGACAATGGAGATCAAGTATAATCCTCCAGCGGGCGATGCGGATCGTGCACCTTCTCCTTCACCACGAGCCGCCAGGGGATCAGCACTTGCCCCACGTAGCGCCCGTCGGGTTTTCGTCCGGCCCCAGGCGGAATTCGTCCGCGTTGAGGAGTAGGACGTTCAGAGGCTGGTCTGTGCCCGCGAAGGAGCCGATGAAGATGCGACCGTCGGTGATGGTTATGCGGAGCATCTGGGTGAGGAGATCCGAGAGGCGGTCGACTGCAGCGGACGTAGTAAAAGGCTAGTGATTTGACTTGTTTGTTATGTCGACGTCACGATCACGTGTACAAGAAGACGCGCTTTGACCGCAGACAACTCACGACACATAGATGGACGAGGTCGCACCGTGTAGTCTCTTTCTTATCTGGATTAATTACTAAACTATCGATGTCAATGCTGGCGGAGTAAACTTCTAAAACGCAAAATGAGATGAAATTATTGTGGATCAATTCCCTGTAAAAGTGCGGAGCGCGACAACGGAATTACTAAATTAATTATATAGTTGTTGCCTAGGTCTAGTACTAGCGGGGTACAGTGCGATTAGTTTAAACTTCCTGGCCCTCCTCTGTGGGCTCAAAACATCCGTCTACGATCGAACAGGTGCGAGTTTCGGCGGAGGACGACCTGCGTTGGAGAATGATTATTAAGTATGAGGGTGATGAGCTGCGAATGAGGCTAGGACTTACGCGTCCCGGATTTGAACTACGGGTTCTGCTGTGGGCTCGAAGCAACCGTCTGCAGCTGTGCAAGTCCGAGTTTCGAGAGTGGGCTCTTCTGTGGTCTCGAAGCAGCCGTCTACAATCGTGCAGGTGCGGGCTTCGAGTTGAACGGGCACCTCGGTGGGCTCGAAGCACCCATCTGCAGCTGTGCAAGTCCGAGTTTCGTAAATGGGCTCTTCTGTGGTCTCGAAGCAACCGTCTACAATCGTGCAGGTGCGGGCTTCGAGTTGAACGGGCACTTCGGTGGGCTCGAAGCATCCATCTGCAGCTGTGCAAGTCCGAGTTTCGAGAGCGGGCTCCTCTGTGGTCTCGAAGCAGCCGTCTACAATCGTGCAGGTGCGAGTCTCAAGTTGAACGGGTTCTTCGGTCGGCTCGAAGCACCCATCTGCAGCTGTGCAAGTCCGAGTTTTGAGTGAGGGCTCCTCAGTGGTCTCAAAGCAACCATCTACAATCGTACAGGTGCGATTCTCGACGAGGACGGGCTCTTTGGTGGGCTCGAAGCACCCATCTGCCGCTGAGCAAGTTCGAATTTCGAGGGAGGGTTCCTCTGTGGTCTCAAAGCAACCATCCACAATCGTGCAGGTGCGAGTTGTCTGGTGCGAATACCAAAAGAATTATAGTGAGTCGACCAGGAAATAAATTGTATGCGACAACTCACAATGGGGCGAGCCATAGAGGCTGTCGCAAGCGCAAGCACAAAAAGAGTAGAGCGTTTGTTGAACATGTTGGACTTATTGAGCCTGGGCGATGTAGAGGAGTTCGAGGCAAGATCTAGAATGGAAGATTATGGAGTAGTTCTCTCTTGTGGGTGTCATTTTATAGTTTCTAGACGAGAGGAGAGCCGAGAACGCATGTAAGCATTAATGTCGGCGGTGTATAGATTCCGTATCGATATGAAGCTGAGATACCTGAGGCTGTCCTGGCGTACGAATTTTGATGCCGACGCTTCGAGGTGGAAAGTCTGGAGTCAACTCGATTCCAACACAAATCTGGAGCTAGGTCGAACCATAAACGAGATGAAAAGCGGATTTAAACTCTAATATTTGCTTCAGATTGTTGTGTGTTGCTTGGATTATTGGGGAGGGATCTGGAATCACTGCAAAATCCTTGGCACGCGGAAGCTGCCAAGAGAGCGCCGACCGCGAGGAAGTTCCAAATTCGGGCGCAGGATATTTCCCGATGCGATGTTGGTGGTTGTCTTGCAGCACCGCTTCTTCGTTGTCGGAGAGTAATGCATCTTGAGTGCATCCGACAGGTTTTGAATCTAGCTGCAGCTGCAGTCCGGAGAGAGCCCGCGCAAGTTGTGCTGACTTCGGTGCCAGTGGTTCGTGCCTCGACTCGATCAACTCGAACTGAGGCGTAGTGCCTCTGGAACGATTTTCGAGGACACGTATTCCAACTTTTGCGATCCATTGGCCATGGTTAGTCCGAGCCAAGTTTGTTACCGGGACCTTGCTTGTACCGAGAACACTGCCACAACATTTCATTCCCACGCCTAAAAGGAAGCTGTAAAGTAAACCGCTGAGAAAAAAAAGAGCAACGAGGACCGGCGATAGCACACGACGGGGAGGGCGGTAACACCGATCGCGAGCGCAAGCATAAAAAAGCACAAAAAGGGCAGCGCAGTTGAACATGTTGAACACACGTGATCGCACTGCTCCGTACTCTCGACCAAGAGGTGCTTGATCTCTGGATCGTCCAATATGATGTGGCTAAGCGAAATCATTGATTTGTAGACGGAACACTCGGCAACACAGCCACTTCTCCTTTGGCTTTGAGCCGCCAGCACGCACAAATGTGTCTTCCACAAGCCCTCCAAGGTCTTTCACAGCCCGTCCTATTGCTATTCTAAATTCCGGCTCGCATTGGCGGACAGCGGAGGCTTGGGCGGAATAGAGAGTCGAGTGGCACCGCGCAACAACAATTGATGGTACATCAGTTAATCAGACGGCAGTGATAATCAGATTCACTGCCTTTTCTGGGGGGGGGGTCGTGGGAAGTATTGGCAGAGATCAAGCACCTCTTGCTCTCGACCTCTCTTTTTGCTTTGACGACGACAGAAATGCCACTCCCCGAGTACGTTTCCGAGCGATTCGACCTATTCGACCGCGCCACGCCCGAAGAGTGGGAGTGGTACGGACCCCTCAACACTCTGCTCGGACATCTCTTCCCCTCCGAGCACTATGAAGTCGCGCTGCAGTGCAGTTTCAGCCCTCCCTGGCAGCCCCGGGCCTCCGTCCACCACGGCGCCGACCGCCCCGCATTCGTCGTACACCGCATCCACAGACGCGCCAAGTACCCCGTGTGCGTTGTTGAAGTGCGGCCCGCGGGGCACCTCGCGCAGCGCGCGGCCCGCACGGTGGCGGACGCGCAGATGCGCGACGCGCTCGGTTCGTTGGTCAATGGTGGGGGTATAAATATTGTTCCGACCCTGGTCGGCATAAGCGTGCTGGGCTCCCGGTTCGCCGTGTACGCGTACGACACGGCGTCGCGCAAGCTGACGCCTCCGCCAGCGATATCGATCCCCAAAGACCCGCGAATTGCCCTGGACGACGCGGACACGGACCTAACCTGCTGGGCGAACGACTTCCTGGACGCGGGCGTGGGCGAGGCGCGGCTTCTTGACGTCGTGCGGTCGATCCGGGCTATGTGTGATGCGCTCTGACCAGCCCTCTCATCTGTCTTGTAAGGTGCCTACGAATTCATCCCCGCGAAGTGCTGATTGAAATTATATTTAATTATCGTCTGAAGCTGCGCACTTGTCCAGGACACTCTGTTGAGCAAAGGGTTTATAAACGAGTGTGGACGTCGTGTTATGGTTTTTCAGGTTGGCCTGATTTCGGCCACGAAAGGATTCCGTATCGATATCCTGCGTCTGACTACTTATCCCCTGGGACCATTACTTGAATTATAATCTTGTATTAGCCCCCGACACTGGTTACAGTATACCGGACAGAATCATAGCCTCTGACCCATGTTGAACAATAAAACAAGTTTTTGAACAGAACAAAAATTAACAGCCTGACCTTGGTTTGAACAAGGGACTTCCTCCAATTGACATCCAACGTTACCATGATTTGAAGGTTGAACAATCAATGAACAGTAAAACAGTGGAAAAAGAAACAGCCTGACCTTGATTCGATCAAGGGACTTCCTCATAACTATTTCCAAAACATCCCAACTGAAGAGGACGTGTTCCAATTACACTACCAGGCCTTATTATTCTCGCCAAATCCGAAAAACTGATTGAATACACGGATTTAAGGTTGAACAATAAAACAGTAGAAAAAACAAACAGCCTGGCCTTGATTCGAACAAGGAACTTTCTCCAATTGACTTTAGAGAAGCAGTTAATAGAAGAGAGCGTGTTTCCAACTACACCACCAGGCTGTACAAAATATCAAGCCAATGCTATCCTTGAAGTAATTGATGCATTCGAGATCAAAGTTGGAAAAAAAAAACACAAACGGAGAACGGCCTAGCCTTGATTCGAACAAGAGACTTCCCCATGACCAACGGATATTTACATACATGAAGGGGACGTATTTCCAACCACACCACCATACCTTGAATTGTTTTCTCCAAAACTTCCACTAGGCCGTGCCATCACCAAAATTTTTCATACTGGACCAGAAATTTCTGCCGTTTTTTTACACGGCGTGATTGATTTAAAAAATCCCGTCGAGTGCGCAAATGTATTCCTTTCAGGATCTCTGCCAAAAGGACCGCTTTTCCAAAACGAAAGACGGTTCTTACCATTTGTCCCGCTTTGGCTCGGCCAAAACGCGCTTTCGCGTGCACGTGTCAAATAAATTATTCATTCAGACCGAATTAATTAATACACGTACACCCGGCGGTAGAATAGGCAAGTACTACAACACGATCCACACAGTCTATGTATATCGAAAAACACCTGCTTGACAACACACACACATACAGCATATGTACACCAGCCAAACACATTACTTGAACCCGCCCCATAAATCCCCAAAACGCATGGTCCTTCTTCTGCGCCTGCGCCTGCGGCTGGCCGAACGCACCGAACGGGTCGGCGGCCAGTGGCGGGCTGGCGGCGGCGCCCCACACGGCCGCGGTGTTCGTCAGCCCGCCCATGCCCGCACCACTCGTCGCACCCGCACTCCCATTTGCTGGTGCGCCGCCCCACAATTGCGTTTGTTGTTGCTGTTGCGGGACGCTCCACCCGGACGCGGCGCCCCACATGCCCGTGCCGCTCGTGCCCATCATGCTCTGGGCAGCGGGCTGTTGCTGCAATACGTCAACGCTGAACTGCGCTTGCTGCTGCGCAACACCGAATTGCGCCTGGTGCGGGACACGGGGGCGCCAAACCCCTGCCTGCCAAACCCGGGCTGCCCGCCAAACCCCGGCTGCTGCGCAGGCGCGGCGTTGAACAGCGACAGGATGTCCTGCTTCTTCGTCTGAGCCTGCACGGAGTTTGGTTGGGGCGCCGCGGGCGCGGGCGTGTGGAAGTCGAGCGTGAAGAGGTCCACCTCTGGCTTGGGCTGCGGGGGCAGCTACGGCTGTGTGGCGGGGGGCGTTAGCGCTGGGACTGCCCGCTTATTGGCCGGGGTGTTATTATTATTACTGGGCATGTTCGCGGGATGAGCTGGTGGCGGGCCTGGGCTGGCGGGTGGTGACGGTGAGCTAGGACGGGCGCGGGGGGGCGACGCCCCAGCCGATGGAGTTGGGCGAGGCGAAGGGCGCGGGGGCGGGGGCGGGGTTTGTGGCTGCTGCTGCGTTGTCGGGGGACGCGGTGTCAAGGACGTACGGGTCGGTGGGGGGCGGCCCGTCGAGCGCTCAGCGGCGTGACTCGTATTTGGAGCGCACGAAGGATTACATTTTGCTATGAATACTTATTATTATATTTCATTTTTAGACAATGGAGATCAAGTATAATCCTCCAGCAAGCGATGGGGATCGTGCACCTCCGCCTTCACCACGAGCCGCCAGGGGATCAGCACTTGCCCCACGTAGCGCCCGTCGGGGTTTTCGTCCGGCCCCAGGCGGAATTCGTCCGCGTTGAGGAGCAGGACGTTCAAGGCTGGTCTGTGCCCGCGAAGGAGCCGATGAAGATGCGACCGTCGGTGATGGTTATGTGGAGGGTCTAGGTGAGGAGCTCCGAGAGGCGGTCGACTGCAGCGGACATGGGGTAGTGAAAGGCTAGTGATTTGACTTGTTTGTTAATGTTATGTCGACGTCACGATCACGTGTGTAAGAACGCTTTGACCGCAGACAACACACGACGCATAAATGGACGAGGAGTCGCATCGTGTAGTCTCTTTCTTATCTGGATTAATTACCGTCTTGAGAAACTATCGATGTCAGTGCTGGCGGAGTAAACTTCTAAAACGCAAAATGAGATGAAATTATTGTGAATCAATTCCTTGTAAAGGTGCGGAGCGCGACAACGGAATTACTAAATTAATTGTATAATTTTTTCCTAGGTCTAGTACTAGCGGGGTACAGTGCGATCAGTTTAAACTTCCTGGCCCTCCTCTGTGGGCTCAAAACAACCGTCTACGATCGAACAGGTGCGAGTTTCGGCGGAGGACGACCTGCGTTGGGGAATGATTATTATTAAGTATGAGAGTGATAAGTTGTGAATGAGGTTAGGACTCACGCGTCGCCGGTTTGAACTACGGGTTCTGCTGTGGGCTCGAAGCAACCATCTGCAGCTGTGCAAGTCCGAGTTTCGAGAGTGGGCTCTTCTGTGGTCTCAAAGCAACCCTCTACAATCGTGCAGGTGCGGGCTTCGAGTTGAACGGACACTTCGGTGGGCTCGAAGCATCCATCTGCAGCCGTGCAAGTCCGAGTTTCGAGAGCGGGCTCCTCTGTGGTCTCGAAGCAGCCGTCTACAATCGTGCAGGTACGAGTCTCGACGAGGACGGGCTCTTCAGTGGGCTCGAAGCATCCATCCGCAGCTGTGCAGCTCCGAGTTTCGAGGATGGGCTGCTCTGTGGTCTCAAAGCAGTCGTCTACAATCGTGCAGGTGCGAGTCTCGACGAGGACGGGCTCTTCGGTCGGCTCGAAGCACCCATCTGCCGCTGTGCAAGTTCGAATTTGGAGAGCGGGTTCTTCTGTGGTCTCAAAGCAACCGTCCACAATCGTGCAGGTACGAGTCTCGACGAGGACGGGCTCTTCTGTGGGCTCAAAGCACCCATCTGCGACTGCGCAGGTGCGAGTTGTCTGATGCGACTACCAAAAAATTATAGTGAGTCAACTGTTCAGGAATTAAAATTGTGAATGACAACTTACAATGGGGCGAGCGATAGAGACTGTCGCAAGCGCAAGCACAAAAGAGTAGAACATTTTTGAACACGTTGAACTTATTGAGCCTGGACGATGTAGAGGAGTTCGAGGCAAGATCTAGAGTGGAAGATTATGGAGTAGTTCTCTCTTGTGGTTGTCATTTTATAGTTTCTAGACGAGAGGAGAGGAGAGAGCGCATGTAAGCATTGATGTCGGCGGATGATAGATCCCGTATCGATATGAAGCTGAGATACCTGAGGCTGTCCTGGCGCGCGAGTTTTGATGCCGACGCTTCGAGGTTGAAAGGTCTGTAGTCAACTCAATTCTAACACAAATCTGGAGCTGGGTCGAACCATAAACGAGATGAAAAGTGGATTTAAACTCTAACATTTGTTTCAGATTATCGGGTGTTGCTTGGATTATTGGGGAGGGATCTGGAATCACTGCAAAATCCTTGGCACGCGGAGGCTGCCAAGGGAGCGCCGACCGCGAGGAAGTTCCAAATTCGGGCGCAGGATATTTCCCGATGCGATGTTGGTGGTTGTCTTACAGCACCGCTTCTTCGTTGTCGGAGAGTAATGCATCTTGAGTGCATCCGACAAGTTTTGAATCTAGTTGCAGCTGGAGTCCTGAGACTGAGAGCCCGCGCAAATTGTGTTGACTTCGGTGCCAATGGTTCGTGCCTCGGCTCGATCAACTCGAGCTGAGGCGTAGCGCCTCTGGAACGATTTTCGAAGACACGTATTGCAACTTTTACGATCCATTGGCCATGGCGGTCCGAGTTTAGTCCGAGCCAAGTTTGTTATCGGACCTTACTTGTACCGAGAACACTGCCACAATATTTCATTCTCACGCCTAAACGGAAGCTGTAGAGCAAAGCGTCGAGAGAAGAAAACGAGGGCACCAAGAACCGGCAATAGCACACGATAACACCAGTCGCGGGAGCAAACGCCAAAAGGGAAGTGCATTTTCTTTGGTTGAACCGTTGAACTCAGTTCGGCCACGAATGGACTCCGTATCGATATCCTGCGTCTGACTACATGCCAGGCTGGGACTATTGCTTGAATCATAATCTTGTACCCCCCGACACTGGCAAACCTAATACTTTCAAACCTCATATTAGATGGGGACACGCGAACTCAAACAGGGCTGAAAATCAAGGGTAACTTTATCATGGCAAGTTCGTTCAATAAATAATACGTACCTCTACAGTATACCGGACATAATCATAGCCTCATCATCCTTGAATTTAACTCTCCATGTTGACCAATAAAACAAGTTTTTGAACAGAACAAAAATAAATAGCCTGACCTTGATTTGAACAAGGGACTTCCTCCAATCGACATCGCGATGTTATCATGATTTAAAGACATGTTTCCGACTACACCACCAGACCCTGGCACTGTCACAAAATTACCGCCTCTAATGCACCGATTTTGAAGGTTGAACAAATCAATGAACAGTAAAACAGTGGAAAATCAAACAGCCTGACCTTGATTCGAACAAGAGACTTCCTCTGACTAATCTTAAAGAGCCTAGATATGCAGAAAGGGTATGTTTCCAACTACACCACCAGACCTTGCTATGCTAAACTTTGCGTGATCCATGGCGAACAATTGAACAATAAATTGTAAACCGGTCAAAAAAGAAAAACAGCTTGACCTTGATTTGAACAAGGGACTTCCTCATACCTAATTCCGTGAGTCGAGCCCGCACATGAAGAGGACATGTTTCCAACTACACCACCACGCCTTACAAAGTTCCAAACCAATGGTATTATTGAACAGATACATTCGAGATCAAAGTTGGAAAAAGAAATGCACCATACAGTCATTAACCTAGAAGCGAAATGATTAGACAATATCGTGATTTACTCCGTGATCACGAGTTATATTCATTCAAACTTTTTTCCAGTCGATGTAAATATTCCGTGGCTACCTGTCTACAGAAAGGTTGGAGTGAATTGGTGAAGTATTGGTGGAGAACGGGCCCAATTTAGTGATACCATCAAATTCTGCCATAAACCACGAAGCGAAACACTACGATGGGCACGATGGAGTGGCTTTGAAGACCTGGGGTGGTCATATTATGATTCTACGACCTTAAAAACCCCCACAGCATGC